GTTTCGATCGAGCGTGATAAATTGGGTTAGATGCTAAGGCAGTTGCACTCAAGTTGTCGCACCAGGCAATGGGAGGATGGTTTAGGTAGACACCAAGTTCTCCGAACAGAGATTGAAACCATGCGAGTTCTGTAGCTAGATTTGCGAGAGCACGATATTCTGACTCGGCCGAGGACCGTGCTACCACTTGTTGCTTTTTGGCTGACCAAGAAATTAACGAATCTCCCAGAAAAACACAGTAGCCGCCAATCGAATGCCGGTCATCAGGGACACATTGCCCAGTCGGCGTCTGAGAAGCCCTGCAAACTGAGGTGAGTGCTCGGTTTAATATGTAGAGCCAGATTTGTGGTTCCCTTTAGATATCTGAGAATTCGTTTGAGTGCTTGCCAATGTTGATCAGTTGGTGAGGAAAGAAATTGACTTAACTTATTGACGGCAAAAGTAATGTCAGGCCAAGTATTAATCAAATACTGTAGAGCTCCAATTGCTTGTCTGAATTCAGTTGGATTATTGAGAGGTGACCCTTCATCTTTGGCGTAGTGTCTATTTGTTACCATGGGTGTTGGTACTGATGAGCAATTTGTCATATTGAACTTGTCAAGAATAGCTGAAATATATTTGCTCTGCTTCAAATATAAGCCTGTATCATCTCTAAAGTCCTCAATGCCCAGAAAGTGATGAAGTGTACCTAGATCCTTTAAAGCAAATTGTGAATTGAGTTGTTTGATAAACAACTCAAGTACTTCAGAAGAATTGCTTGTGATAACAATATCATCCACATATACTAGAACAAACAGGACAAACTCCTTGTGTTTGAGAAAAACAAAGAAGTATCACATTTAGAATGACAGAATCCCCAGTTCAGCAAGGTAGACCTTAGTTTTTCAAACCATGCTCTAGGTGCTTGTCTTAGGCCATAGAGTGCTTTCTTTAGTAAACAAACATGATTAGGAAACTTAGATGACATGAAGCCTTCAGGTTGCTTCATTAAGACTTGCTCTTGTAGGTCACCATTTAAGAAAGCATTGTTGATATCAAGTTGTCTAATTTTCCACCCAAAAGTAACTGCTAGTGATAGTACAAACCTCAAGGTAGAAGTTTTCAGCACAGGGCTAAAGGTTTCATCAAAATCTTCTCCAAACCTTTGTTGAAAGCCTTTGGCGACTAGCCTTGCTTTAGGTTTGTAACCAGATCCATCAGGTAGTTGTTTGGCCTTGAACACCCATTTGCAATCAACGAGTTTCTTCTGTCTAGTATAAGGAATTAGATCCCATGTATGATTCTTCATAAGAGCTTTGTAGTCATTTAACATTGCCTGCTGCCACTGTGGAGAATTGAGTGCCTCTTGTACAATTGTAGGCTCTTTTAGAATAACTATCTCTGCTGTTACAGTTCCAATGTAGGGAAACTTGGGTTTGTGAATCCCTGCTTTACTTCGAGTCACCATTTGATGTCTGATTGGAGAGTTAATTTGTTGTGAAGAAGATTCTGTTGCCTGAATGTTCTCTTCGGCCTGTTTGCAGGAATTTTCTGGTGATCCATTGCCAGTTGAATCTGAAAATTGATTAGTAGAGGCTTGCTCATTTTCTTCTTCATTCCCTATTTGTGCAGAATCACGTTCCATCATTGGGAGATAAGGAGTGTGATCTGAAGCATCTTGAGGATCATTAAGACTGCTACATTGAGTGTTGTTATCAACACCATCAGCTGGACAGTATTTCGACAGAGAGCACAGAGCAGATTGGAAGAAGGATTTCAGATGCACTTCTTCAGCAGGTACCTCTTTCTTGTTCAAAAAACCTGTAGAAAAAGGAAAATCATGTTCATTAAAAGCTACATGGTGAGAAATGTAGATTCTTCCAGTAGGACTCAGGCACTTATATCCTTTATGATTGTTGCTGTAACCAATGAAGACACACTTAGTTGTTCTGAACTGTAGTTTATGATCATTATAGGGTCTAAGGCATGGATAGCATGCTGTTCTAAATATTTTGAGATGTTCATAGTCTGGAAGCTTGCCAGTAAGTCTGAAGAAAGGTGATACACCTCCTAGAATCAGTGATGGTAATCGATTAATTAGTTCAGTTGCTGTATGAAAGGCTTCCCACCAATAGAATAAGGGCATCTTGGCTTGAGCTGGGAGAGTCAAACCCATTTCTACTATGTGCCTATGTTTGCTTTCTGCTCTCCCATTTTGTGGAGATGTGTGAGGGCAGCAATGCCTAAAATGTATGCCTGATTCTTGTAAAACCTTGGCAAACTTTCTATATTCACCTCCCCAGTCACTTTGAACAATTTTGATTTTACTTTCAAACTGTTTTTCAGCAAAATTCTTAAACTGGACAAACATGTGAAGAGCCTCATCCTTGGTTTTCAAGGGAAAAATCCAAGAATACCTGCTATAATCATCAACAAAGAGAATATAGTATCGGAAACCATTCATAGATTGAAGTGGTGAGGGTCCCCAAAGATCAGTGTGTATTAACTCAAGTGGTTTAGAAGCATGTGAGGTCAACACTTTGAAAGGTAAAGAATGCATTTTCCCATACTTGCAAGATTCACAGAAACTAGGCTCACTTTCATTAGAAGATATTTTCATATTACATTCAGCTATAATTCTGTTTAGAATCTTGTCACTAGGGTGATCAAGTCTATAATGCCAAAAGGTTTTACTAAATGCTTTAAAACTAGATGCTGTGTTAACAGCTTCTTCAGCAACTAAAACCAGATCTTCTTGTCTTCCTTTTCTCCTCAAGTCTAGAACTCGAAACATGCCTCCACTACTTGGCTTGCCCTGTAGTATTAGCTGCCCTGTTATCTGATCCTTCACAAAAACACCATTTGTGTTAAAAATCACATTAGCCTTATTGTCATGAGCCACTTGATACACACCGAGTAAATTCCTTTTGATTTCAGGAGTATAAAGTATTCTGTTCAGCTTAACTTCTCTGTTACTGACATTTTTAATAGTTGAGGAACCCACTTTATCGACACCAAGTTTAAAACCATCTCCTACTACAATATTCATCTTACCATTGATTTCAGCAGCACTATCAATTTTGTTGATATCATTGGTCACATGACTTGTTGCTCCACTGTCTAGGTACCAGGCATCATCATTCACCACCTCTGGAGTTGCCCAATAAGCACTATCCAGATTAGTATAGGTGGCTCTCTATTGCTTCCGACCACTAGAAGGAACCAAGGATCGGTCAAAATGGTAAAAGCAATTCTCAACCACATGACCGACCCTATTGCAGAGCTGGCATTTTGGCGGACCATCATCATAGTTGTTGTTTCTTCCAGAACTTCCATGTTCATTTCGACTCCTACCACGTCTTCCTCTATTCCCACGGCCACCACGCCAGTTGTTTCTAAAGGAAGAGTTGCTGTTTGACCGTGGAACAAGGGAGTCATCAAGCCGAACAGTGTTTGCAAAATGAGTTGAAGTTTTAGAAATAAGTTGAAGCTGCTCCAGTCTACTCTCAAAGGTGAAGAGCTGAGACTGCATCTCAATCCAACTTAACTCATCAGCACGGTTGGAGAGTTGAACCACAATAGGGTTGTAGTTGCCGTCCAGTCCAGCTAAAGCCTGAATGATGAGATCTGGCAACGGTATTGGGCTACCGGCGAGTGCGAGCTGTTCTGCCAGATTCTTCATTTTTGCCAGGTATTCAGACATCTTCAGGGAGCCTTTTCTTGTCCTCTGAAGTTCAGAACAGAGAAGGAGATGGGATTTCGTTTGAGCACCAGGAATCTCCTTTGCAACACGCCAGAGACCAGCAGAGGTGGAGACAGAGGTCATTTCAGCAGAGATTTCGATGGTTATGGTATTAAGAAGCCATCCAAAAGGAGCTGGTCGGCTGCTACCCAGTCTTCAAAGGCTGGGTTGATCTTCGTTTCAGTTCCTTCTGTGATGAACTGAGTTGGGCATCGCTTTGTTCCATTGATGAATCCTTCCAGCTTATGGCCTTTAATGACAGGCAAAACATGTGAGCCACAATGAGTAATTAAGTCTGTCCAGCTTGACAGAACAGGATTGAGACAATGGGCTGTTCTTTTCTGTTAGTTTGGCTAAAAGGGAGTCAGTGACAATGGAGCTGTCATCCATTTTGGACGTTTCAGATGATGTCCTGGGGTTATTTTGGGACTCTGGTGATTCATTGGGATTCGACATTGGTGACTAACCAGCTGGCTCTGGATACCAAGATAAGAAATGTAATAGAGAGACTGATAATAAAATCAATGAAGGCGCACTGTTCAAGGCCCTTTGTTATTCTATATATAGACAGGGTAAAAACCCTAGTTTACAGGAGGAGCTTACACGTGTAATGTACACTGGATCAGTAATATACTAAATGAATAACAATTAGTTGGGCTTTATATATCTGGGCTTATATATTGGACCCAAAGCATTCTTAACACTTCTGACTGTATATGTACTTCTAATATGTATATATGAATGTATTTTATTTTTTTTCTTTTTTTAAAATCACTCTAATTCTATTTTTTGATAAGTATATCATTTTAATTAATTCTTCAGTGCTGAAGATAAGGTTTTTCGTTCCCCGCTTTCATATTTGTCTCAAGAAGAATTTGCCACGCTTAGACTAGGGGCTTTTTTGGATTCATTGGTTAGTATTTATTTATTATATTTTTATCTTCTATTTTAATATTAATGACAAAGGTTTTAGTTATATTAATAATATTCAGTTTCATGCATTCTTAGGTAATAGATGCTTTTGTAGAGATGTTAACCCATATTGAGCGAAAGAAGAAAATTACACCTTCGAATTGGTATCTTCCTGTGACATTTTCGGTGATTTCCTATTCCCTTCTTTGTTACATGATGCATGTCAATAGTTGTTTAATCTAAAACTAGTTCATTGACAATAACTCTTAACGGTTCCTCCGTAATGTAATCATAGGAGGCAGCACTCAAAGGCAGCATAAGTCACTTCTTGGCCTTTGTCCATCGTCAAAAAATAAGAGAAAATTATATGTCCGACCTGGAATCCTGTGAGAAGGTATGTCAGTCTTTTCAACTCTTTATAGAAAAGTTTCTCTATCAACATGATTACTATTTTTCCTACTGTGTGTCAATTTGATTTTTGTCATCACAAATAATAGGTGTTTATTCCTGTTCACACTGAAACAAAGCCACATTGTGGACATTTTTATTTATACATTATCCATGTAAAGAATGAAGAGATTGAAATATGGGATTCTCTGCTCGATACATGTGTGGCTGAAACAGATCGCGATGAGAATACAAGAAAATTGGTGAGTGTTAGATAATTGCAATATTCACAACATTAATTGATCAATTATTCTTTTGATTTTATAGAATTTATGTTTTATATATCTAGTTGCTTGCCATGGAAAAACTCTTCGTAAATGTAGCATTTACGGGATTTCGTTCGAAGATGAAAACTGACATCCTCAAACAGCCCAATGGGTGAGTTGATAATTATTATGTAAAATTAGATAGACTTTACTATAAGAAGTTTGTATCATGACCTTATGATATTTTTTTTTTAATTTGTAGATTTGATTGCGGTATCTTTGTTATGAAGTTCACGGAACAATCATATAATTACGTGAAGATAAATCCTTCATTTCAGGTATGACCGGCCTCTTACAGACATAGAGTCATAGATTCATAGCTAAGCACTCACACATGCCCACACAGTCCTAAACGAGCACGCAAGTACTCTCTTTTACCCTATGAGGTAAATGGAGGGGAAGGTAAGGGCAAGAAAATTTTAATGAGGTTGATTTAAAAAAATTGAAGAAATGAGATTTTAAAATTTTAATAAAGAGAATGTGTAAAATAAAAAGAGTCCTAAAAATTAATTAAAAACTTTTAACCCCATTTTTTTAATTTTTACAATCAGCCTCATTAAAATTTTCTCTCTCCTTTCCTTCCCTCCATTTTCTTCATCCCAAATAGACCCTTTGTCATATAAATGATACGGACAACTATGTAGTTTGGCAGTGAAAAAGAAAGGGATGATTTGGCTTTGAAGTTGCTCAACAGTGACCTGAACCAAGAAAAACGAAATCTATATGGCAAAGCAAGACGCCACTATGCGCAAAAGCAGGATGGCAATAAAAGATTACGAGTTGACAGAGTGATTAGACAAGATCGTTTAGAAGAAGGTATGAATATCAGCATATAGAACTTATATCCACCTCCATTTATTTTTCATTTATGAATTTGTTTTTAAACTTTTAAAAATTTTCATACCTTTTTTTTTTGCCAAAAAAATTGTCATAACATTCTCATCAAATTGTAACCTTCTCTCATATTTTCCTGTTTGCCACTCTCTTCTCCATAACTTTTTGATTACTTAATGAGGGACAGGAAAGGAAAATTTTTTAATGCCGCCTAAATTTTTTGGTGACTTACATTTTGAGTTCTTGAAATCTTCCAAAATGTGATTTCCACATAGGGACGGAGGGAGTATATATACGACTACTTAAAATTTGAATGCCATATTATGTAATTTATTATTATTATTATTTTTACTTTTCTCACTATCTTTATTTAATTACTATTTTTGTTGCTAGGGTCTTCCAAAGATTATATATTGCCTACAACAGATTTAATTGGGCGCAATTTTCAAAATGATGCTAAACAAATATGGGAGTGGATAATGGGTGACAAGGTGTCCGCAATTGGCATTTGGGGAATGGGGGGTTCAGGAAAAACAGCCTTAGCAACCCATATTCATGACAAGCTTTTAGAAGAAGCCAACGGTGACATTAAAGTTATTTGGCTGACTGTATCACAAAATATCGACATCTACAAGTTGCAAAAAGTCATAGCTAAATCAATTAAGTTGGATATATCTGATGAGCCTCGTAAAAGAATTGCTAGAAAATTATTTCAAACATTCAAAGAGATGAAGAATTGTGTTATTATTTTAGATGATGTTTGGGATCATTTCTCTCTAAAGGACGTCGGATTTCCTATGTCAGATAATCGAATTAAATTGATTTTGACCACCCGCATAGGGGAAGTGTGTCAGGGTATGGGTTGTGAGGAGGTAATAAAAGTGAAGCCTTTAGATGAAGAAGATAGTCGGACATTGTTTGATGAGTTTTTTGGATTATTCCGTGAAGAACTATCTTCAGAAGTGGAAAACATTTCGTGGTTTGTGGAAAACATTGCGCAGAATGTGGTACAAGAATGTGAGGGTTTTCCCCTAGCTATTGTTAGAATCGCAACAAGCATGAAAGGGAAAACGAAAGCTGTAGAATGGAGACATATGTTGGAATGTCTTAAAAATTTGGGCAATGGGCAATATGAAATGGATAAATGGGTATTTCCAGTTTTGAGATCTAGCTATGATTTCTTAACTAACAAATTGCAAAAATTCTTGTTGTATTGGGTCTTGAGGATCGGAACCAATAATCTGTGTTTTGAGGACAATATTCATTATTTCATAAGAAGGTTTGTTTATGAAAGCATTGATGAGACAATGGAGTTGAGTGTGCAGTATGATGAAGGTTACAACATGTTGCTTAAATTAAAGAATCACAGCATGTTGGATTATGATGATTATGGTTACTTGATAATAAACAAGTTTCTTAGAGTCCTAGCTACTGGTATTGCAGAAGACACTGGTAAAATTATGAGAAAAGCTTATAAGAATTTGATAGAAATACCAAGTGATGACCAATGGAAAGAAGATCTACAGCAAGTTTTTCTAACGGGAAACAAGATACAAGCAATTCCATGTGGCACATGTCCTAACTGTACTCAACTTTCGATGTTGCTTTTGAATGGTAACAAAGAACTCAACCACATCACAGATGAGTTTTTCAACAACATGCCCGCTCTTAAAACACTTGATTTGTCTGAGACTGCAATCTGGTGTTTGCCCAAATCGGTATCTAACTTAAAATATCTCATTACATTGTTACTTTCAAGATGTACAGAATTGAGGGACATTCCTTCATTAGGAAAATTGAAACGGTTAATATCACTGGATCTATCTTGGGCTGCCATCACTGAGGCACCTGTGGGTTTGGAATCATTGGTCAGTCTTAGATGGCTGAGTCTACTCGAGATTGATGAGTGGGTAATATCACCATTGCTCATATCCAAATTGATCAATTTAGAGTGTCTTGAGTTGGGTGATGCCCAATGCTTAACGGATGCAACAGTACAAAGCATACAAGGTTTGAAAAAGTTGGAAGTTATATGTGCCTACTTTCATGACATTAGCATCTTCAATACCTTTGTGAAGTTCATGGCCGAAAATCGTGTAATCAGAAGTTATCAATTAACTTTATACTCTGCACTTTATGATTATCTTGGTGGTCTTGATGATCAAATAAAGAGAGAATATTCTATGAAAAAGATAATTCTTAAGGGTATGAATTTCAAAAATAGAGAACCAGTAGTACTCCCAAGAGACATCAAGGAGTTGTTTATAACAGCATGTTTCCTAGGGACTGGTGTTAGATCCCCATGCAATATTTTATCATATGCCCACAACAACAATCCACCCCAAATTGAACTGTGCATTAGCGACTGTGAAGATGTGGAGTGCTTGTGTTGTTGCAGTTGCCCCTTTTGCTCCTCTTCCCAACTCGTTGGACGTCTACACCTCTGGAAAATGGACAACTTAAAAGATTTGGTGTCACCATCTGCTGATTCCTTGCATCAATCTGCCCTATTTTCTCAGCTCACAGATCTCCAAATTTTGTATTGTGAAAGCATGAATACTCTGATGCCGTTTGAATTATTAGCACTCCTCCAAAACCTGCGCACCATTTGGGTTGAAAGGTGTGAGCAGATGAAAGAAATAGTTGGAGATGTTCATCCTGTAATGGAACATACTATCAAACTTCCCATGTTGACATCTCTGACATTACTTGTCATGCCAGAATTAGAGTCCGTATGCACAGGCATCCTCCACTGCCCTTCTCTCCGAAAATTCTCTGCTAATTATTGCAAGAAACTGAATCCCCCTCGGATAGCGATCTCAAATGATGAAAGTGTGCCTCCGATGAAGAAGAACTCATCTGGTACATACTATTGGCAAAAGTGATTAATGAGGTCCATATCCGCCCCACTCTTTGACTTCCTTTTATGTTACGTTTATGATGAATATAGTTACTGTTTGTGTTTATTTCTCCTCGTGCTTCAAATGATCATTCATATGTTTCCTTTTGTCTTCTTTATTTCTCTCCATCTGCCCACGTTGTACTTGATTCTTGTGATCATTACTAACCTTGCACGCTCATATCAGTTTCTGAATGCCTGCCAATAAAAACAATTAATGTTCCAATAATTGGCATTTTGTTTGTTATAAGTTACTACATTGAATATCATAAATAAATCTCAACAAAGGGAAGCCAATTTGTAGGATATATAACCTCATCATCTCTTAATCTTTGTTTTTTTCATTTGAATGTTCGAAGTGTGCACTAGCGCTACTACTCAATCTGGGATATTAATCGTTGTGAATATATCTCATCTCCTAAGTTGCTAATGATATTTTCAATTATTCACTCGGTTGCAAAGTATATATTGCTGCAAAGTTGTTTGTGGCATGCGTCTCAATTATTCTAATTCTTTTTTGTAATGTCATATGCAGGATACAGTTTTTGCTGCGTGGGATGCTAAAAGTGATCAGGCCTAGCATCCTTTAAGCCATCATTCAAGAGCTGCTTTTGATTTTATATTTATGTTGTCTGCTTCTATATTTGTTCAACTACACTATTTTAATCAGTACATTTATGATGAAACTAAGTCTGTAATGCAACTACTTGCTTGTTTTAACTAAACTATTTATTGGAAGAGTGACACGAACACTTATTCAAGGGAATAATTTATATTGAACTCAAGACGAATTACATAGGCAAATTTACATATAAACTCTGAATATGGGACTTGTTTATGAATAAAACCTTTCAAATTTTACTAAAATACTTTCAATTATCTTAAAATTGGTTGTCCTCAGTTTCTACTTGTGGGGCAACATTTTCGAGAGTGACTTGTTTCTATTTATAAGACAAATTAGAAAAGTTGAGAATTATTTAGTATTTTTTTTAATTATTAGTGACCTGAGGGAGAAAATGTGGCTCATTATAAAGGTTCACATATCATAATGACAATGATTCCGTCTTTTTCTAATTTATCTCTTTACAAATTAACATAGCTCGATCTAATAGGTGCGCTAATAGTTGACTGGGAAAATATATCTTTAATATTATAATTGTTATCATTTTAAAGACAGTAATTTTTATTTTTTTTTTTTTTGTTGTTATGTACTGTTATATTTGAAATGACACCATTTATCAATTCTCGTTAAGTTGTCAACGTTTTTGTTTAAGTGAAATCATTATAATTTTATATGCATTAGATCGTATATAATTTTCAATATTTTAAAAAAAAAGTATTCCAATTACAAATAAAAATTGATTGTAAACTTTTAAAATTTTTATGTCACAAATTTACGAAAATGCAAACGGCATATCTATTCTTGGAGATACTATATGTTAACTATGAATGCCAGCAATACAGTACAAATAAGTATTTTGTCATCATGAATCAAAAAGCTGACTTTGAGGGGGGGGAATCATATTGGATTTGCAGTTGAATTATAAATGGTAACAGAAAGAAAGAAACAGAATTCACCTCTTTTGAAAATAATGTTGTGATAAGAACTGACGATTCATTACAATTATAAATGGATAAATAAACAGTAGTGTTTTATGTAAATAATATGTTTTATATAAAATTGGAAAACAGGCATGAGAATATCCAAATTATTTAAAGAAAACAGGCACACACCAGCACTCCGTATATGACTCTGTTTCCAGCAGGCCTGCATTATCTTCACTTTATGCAGTAAACCAAATTATTTAATCCAACATAAGTCAACATGTTGAAATGACAAATCAATCAGACATCGAAAGGCAATATTGGGTTCTTATCGGTTCCTATTTTAGTAGCTGCTGGCACCATGAGAGACAGAGATCTTTCTTCTCATCGGATGTTAAATGATTTCTACAATGTACATATATATTGCCATTGCTTGCTTGTGAAGTAGCAGAGAGTTAAGCTTCTGAATTGAAGGAAGAGAGCTTTGAGATTGCAGCAGAGAGAGAGAGAGAGAGAGAGAGAGAGAAGGGAGATGGAAGGAAGTAAAGGTGATGAAGTGAGAAGGATTCATGTAGTGTACTTCCTCAGTTTGATGGGTCGTTCTGAAGAACTACATCTCATACGTATTCATCATTCAGTGGTTTTTTTCGTATGTCAAGATTTAGTTGAAACAAAGAGATAACAATGGCATGAATAAGGAAGATTGTGGTTTTTGAGATGGTGGGTTTAAACTTATACTCTCTTCTATCTCTGTCCAGTACCCTGTTTTTGACTTACACAGTCCATGATTTATGAACTTTGTTTACGTGATAAAAGATGTGAAGAGATCGATTGGAGAAGCGAGAGGGAAGGATCTGACACAGATATATGCATGGTCCTACAAGAGGTAGAATGAATGGCATCTTCATACTCTGTTTTTGATTTTTTTAAACGAGTTGAAGTGTTTGATTAGTGGATTCAAATTTTAAGCAGGAGATGCAAGACAGGATACGTGTGGCAAGACTTGTTGGATGATGATCTCATTACTCCAATTTCTGATAATGAATACGTCCTTAAAGGATCTCAAACCCACCCTCCCTCTTTTGGTATGTCCTTCAGATGAAATAATGGAGTGTTGTCGTTTGGTAATAATTCTCAAAACGAGTTATGCAGGTATTTGTTGAGAAGCCTCTCTGATTAGGCAGAAACTTTTATATTTGGTGAAAGGAAAGCTTTCAAGTTGAACAAGGAGATTCATGTTCAAGTACATGATAGAGAGGGCAAAGAGTTGAAGCAGAAGCAACCATTGATACCAGAAGAACTTCAACTCGAAAGATTTCCGTACTTCAAACCAAATTCTCTTGATCAGCTACTATCAGAGATAAGCTCTGATAGGTCCACATTAGCAGATGAAAGTGAATCTTGTAAAGTTGAACCAGACAAACTTGTGGACACAGGCAAACAAGACCCAGAGACATCATTTTCAATTTCATTATCATCTTCTTCTTCTTCTTCATCATTATCTCCCTTGAATGGAAGTAAGAGATTTTCAACAGGAGCTTCTGGTTTGTTTCGCAACTTGATCACTTGTGGAGCCTTAGATTGAAACGACGACGTTGTCGTCATGCTGAACCAAGCTCATAAAACTGTTTCTGAGAACTCTAACACCCTCGATGATGGTAATGTTAACGCGCAGATTCGCAAACATGATAGATTTGGAGGATCAGCTAGGAATCTTGGAAGTTGTTGGAATCCCAGCAGGAGCATGATGAAGCCAGGTAAGTAAATAAGAAATTGGGCCCAGAATATTTTATTTCAAGTTACAAATTATGACAAAAATCGAAGTTTTTATTCATAACATGAGCTTTCATATTTGCAGAAAAAGCTGTGATGAGAAGAACACGAACAAAAACAAGAAGGTTGGCAATATTCTGAATCAGATTTCTCACAAACCATTTGGAGGGTCAATTTTCTCTAGATGAGAGGAGCCAGAAAATGCGTTGTGGGGAAGAAAAACAGGGCATGTTTGGAACAAAAAAGCCCATCAGGGTGAAAGATCCATTTTGTTGGACCATTATATATAGATCATCAAGTACCAGATTTCAAGTTCCATTTAGTCATGCAATTTTAAAAAAAAAAATGTCGAAATGATAATTCTTTTTGACTTCATCAGATTCCACGAGCACTATCCAAATGAATTATTTCCTGTTATATGTTACTTGTTAATTAAACTAAATTAAGAATTTCAATCTATCTTGGACCTCTACTTTTGATTTCTAACTACAATTCTTCTGCCCGCCACCACTTTTGGGGCTGGCCTTTTTTAAAAAAAATAAAAAATAAAAATTAAATTCCAGTCATAATCTAAAATTTCATAACCTATATTAATTAATTCAACTTTTAAAAATCATTATATATACTATGGTTGTAGTCTTGTCGTCAAACTTTTTTTTTTTAAAGGAATTAATTCTCATCACCGTGAGAGCGTTGAAGCTTAAGCTTACCTCCTCGACTTTTCCTAGTACTAATTAAGCAGAATTAATAGCTGCTTCTATATTCAGAACATTGATTCATCTCCTATCATCATTTACCATTAATTTTTTTTTTATATAAAAAGACAGTCATATGTATCAGATAAAAAGATATTACAACACAGACTGTATATAGGGACAAACACAAGAAGATAATAAGTTCATAAATTGAGGTTTGATGAGTCTTTTATTCATCTCCCAACTGAAGACAATTTGTCATTAATTCTTTGATGAGTCTTTTGAATTTGTATTTACATTACAGACAAAGGTGCCAATGCCACAGCTTCTTGTCTTTGGTTGCGGGTGTGTTTGGAACCATATTTGGAGATCCAAACTGACTTCCCAACTGGTAAAATGAGTTTTTTGAATTTGGAGTGTGTTTGGAATCACAGCTTTGTAATATAATTTATTTGGCACAAATGGGCTTTAGGGAGAAGCTCCCTTTTATTGCTTTCTCCAGTGTGTCCAAAAAAGCAGTTGGAGCATTAATGGTAATTTAAATTTTTCACCCACTTATCATATATTCATTTTGGGTGTCTGCATGCGTTTATTTTCAGTTGGGAAGTCTGAAATACGAGAATAACAGAGGCGCAGCTAGGAAGTCTGAAAAATATTTTCAGTTGGGACCAACAAAGTAATTTATATATATCCATTAAATATATTTAATTAAGTATTTTAGTATTTTTTTCAATTTCTTCCTAACAATGAATTAAATTTCTTTATTTGTAATAATTTTATTTTCAATACTTTTTTTAAAGTTGTCACATTATATATATAAATAATATTATATATGTATGACTTAATAAAATTTATGTTCTTTTAAGTCATTTTGCATCTAAACTTACTTTTTCATTAATCATCCAAATAAATTTAAGCTTCTCAAACAGAATTTTTCTAAAACTCAGTTTTAATATAAATCACATTATATTAT